CAACGTGTGTCACAGCCCCTGGGGACTGCCGGTTCGAATCCCACCAAAGGATGCTGTGCCGCGTCGGAAGGAGCCCGGGGGGGCGTGGTCTTCCCCAGTGCTCAACAGCGCCGCCCTAGAGGGCGACAGGATGCCCGCAGGCGATATCAACCCCCGAAGTGATCATAAAGACTGGCCCTGATAAAAACACTCCTCTCTCTCTCTCTCTCAGGAGGAGGCCACCCTGCTTCTGGACTAAACCCTGGTGCTGGTGTTTTTATTTTGGCTCCCCCCTTCCCACCCCAGAAATGTCCAAATTTAGCTTCTGGATCTTTGCTGACCCCCTCCTCAATTAAAGACGGGGTAAGACCTGCACGACTGGGGATCACGAACCCCCACCCCCCCAGCTCCAGGCAAGAGGATCTCCGGCCAGCCCAGCTCTTTCGTGTTGACTGCTTTGAAACGTTAGCTCTTAGTTCAGCCCGTTTTCTCTTCAATCCTGCCGGGAACCAAGGGGCGAGGAGTTCAATCCCTCAGCACCACCCTCTCGCCTCACTGGGATGAGGTGGGACAAATCTGGGAGGGGCAATTATATGGAAGGATTGGGAAATATATGCCACCTGTTTCCCCACTGTTCCTGCGGCTTGCAAGACCCGACGCCCTGCTCTTTGGGGCTCCTCACATTTTGGCCAATGGGGGTGCAATCACTGCGAAGTTTCTCTTCCCCGATTTCCCTCGTTATTCTGATCGGAATGGCCCGCAAGAGGAGGAGGCCTGGTTTCGTCCTCTTGGGAGGAAGTAGCTCGGCCAGCTGTATCTTCAGGAGGAGCCAGGGAAGCGGGTTCAACAACATAATTACAGCTTGTTCCACACTCCCGCCACCCTTTGTGTAAGGAAGAGCCTCATGTCCCGACTAGGGGGGGGGGGGATTTCATCCAGCTGCATCTTGATAAGAAGCCGGGGTATCAGCGTCCACAGCAGCAGGGCTACAGAACATGCGGCTTGTTCCACGCACCCACCCCCCTTCCTGTAAAGAGGGGGCTCCCGTCACATCTAGCTTTTTCTCGAGAGACGCCAGGGCTTCCACCACGTGGCTGGGGGCGGCCTGCCCCACTCTCCCTCCCCACCCTTTGCGTACAGCAGAGCCTCCTGTCCCGAATGGAAGGTCTCACCCGGCCGTTTCCGGGAAGAAGCCAGGGTATCGGCTGAGGCAGACTGTTCCCCGCCCCCGCCACCCTTTGCGTAGAGAAGGCGGGCGCTCCGGAAAAACAGCATATGGTTTCACGACTAAGACGGAGCCCCTTCAGCCTACACAGGGAGCGGTTCTGTGCGTGGCCGCGATCCTAAATGTGCAAAGCTCGGTGGGAGGGCGCAGGTCTCGTCACAGCAGGTTCTCCTGGGCAGGAAAACCCCACCGGCCTCACGCAAATCCAACACTTCTATTCACCGTGGGGGCGGCACAGCGCTGGGCATTTGCTCACAGGGCTGGGGTTCAA